GAATGTTCAAGAAACATAGTGGTAACATGTGCGCTGGTTTCATCGGGCTAAGGAATGGTCCAATGGCAGGCTATTGTCAATAAGGAAATAAACATACGGGTTCCATAAAAAACGATGAATTCTTGAGTAGCTTAAGAAAGCTCAAGAAAGACTCTATTCCATGGAGTCAGTTAATATTGGCCACTGTTTTTTTAACAAACAAGAATTCCACAAACTAAATAAGCAACAAATTCTCAAGTATGCCAGGGGAACAGAAAGGGGCAGCAGGAAAAGCCGAGTAGGTGCATGAAGCTGTGTCAATTTCTACAAGGAACCAGCTAATAACAACAGAAACCCCGGCTTCCTGTCTCCATTTGTGGTCACATTTGCATATTATATATTCTTTTACTACTTCATGACATAGTACTAAATATATGAAAGACTTTAAAAATGCCAACATGTCTCCAAAGAAATGTGACCAGAGATTAAGGCAGGTAGATAACGCTGACAAATGACTGAAGAAGCCTTAAGAATTTAATACAAAAAATAAACTTTGTACAAACACATCAGAAAGAGCAGCTGACCCATAGGTCAATCTACGAAACGATTCTCACGTCTTGTCACCAGAATTCAAAGGCTTAATACAACTGACGACGTCGATGTCTGATCGCTTTAAGGTTCTATAAACGTAAATGCTAATTAAAGTGTGTCAGAATTTCGGCTGGTGGAGCGAATGTAAAAGGAGAATGTGTTTGGGCGCAAGGTGAGGGGATCAACTCACAATGTGGCATGGTGAGAAGTAAGTTTTGTTTACTTAATAAAAGAGAAATAGTTAACCACATAGTTGCTGCCAGAGAAAGGTATTTTTTCTAGACAGGCTCCTCCATCATCAGTTGTCAGTGGTTTATCCCCTGCCATTCTTGTAGACCTATAATAGACGGGAAATTCCTCACTCTGTACACTATAGGTCTGAGACGACACACCACACCCGATGACCTCAGCCAATAACGCATCTAAAGGACAGAGAATACTGGTGTTGACGTCTGTGATCAAGACGATAACTCCGCTCAAGTGGAAGGCCTACAGAACCAGCTGATTGAAAGCCAGAAACTTGTGTCGTAATTAAATGACACATTCATTTTCGAAATCCTCGGAAGAAATACCTGGCTGAAGTTGGCAACAGCAAAGTAGGCCTATAAGAATAAACCTTAAAGAAACTTCAAGTTGTTACTAATTCCAAGACATGTCCCCTCTTTTATTAAACTGCGTATGATTTTCTGTTAGTTACGGATGTGGTAGTGAACCTCTGTTCTTTCTTATTTGCCTCTAACAATGTGATGTTATGTATTTGTACCATCAACTCTACAAAGAAGGTTATGTATGTATTTATAGCTACGACTGGCTGTTTCCTATTGGTTCAACAATTACATCAATCCCTGCCACTGCGTGTCCTATCCAATAGCCACGCACCTTCGATCAAATGAATTAAATTCTAGAATAATATGATATGTCCTACTCACCAGTACTACAAATCCTTCGGTTCTTCCTTGATCAAAATTGAAGCTATGTTTACAGATTTCCTCCGAACTGTAACCGTTTAAGCCGAACTTGTAAACAGCATTTTGTATTAACGTACTAATCTGCACGAAATGAACAAGTGTATTTATTTTTGTAAACAGGCACAATCCATCTAAACACAATCACTACCGTGTAAAACGTAATCGCCCTTTCACTGTAGCCAACTAACGGAACAAAAATATTACGACGATAATAAGAGCAGCTTGGAAGAACACATGCACCCTTATAGCACGAAATGATGCGTTTCATTTACTCTCTACGTGTGTACGTATTTATACGATATGACAGCAATTTGTATTGGATGTCAAGAAAATCAACATCCTTTGCTGTTTTCAGCGAAAGCGCCGTTCCTTGCCAAGCTTTTACTTAAAAGAAACTACTGAAATAATAGAATTGCTTGTTTACGACTTCAACATTACGACTAACGTATACATTTCGACTGAAAGATCAGTGACAGAAACTGCATTGAACTAATTACTAATTTCATTAATGTACATTGTGTTGTTTTCTGACTATAAATACCCCTGCTGCTTCCCTTGGAAAAGTTGGCGATATTTCCTGTTAACTGCACTGAAGCAACACAGCTGTTTATTTACTACAACAATCTTAGGTTCTAATGGCAGAGTCTGAAGATGGCTGTCTTCTGGGTTGTTGCACAATGCAATTTGGTAGTTTACTGACGTTCTTAGTACAGATTATGTAGCTACTTAACTGTAATCTGCCCGTTAAATTGAAAATGCTTCACATTGTATTTTAAATATGTTTGCAGAATTTCGAAATATGTTCCATGAAATCTGATGAGCTCAAGTGTTACTGTGGACTGTTTCATTAGTACATATTTAAAAAAGGCCTGGTTATGCTAGCATTTCCGTGACAATACTACTCCTGAAGCAAGAAGTGCAAATTATATAATAGAAATATAATTTCCTTGACGTTTCTGTGAAATCAGTCAAAGTCCAAGTGTTTATTAGGGTATAAAATAAATATATAAATAACTATTAACACTATAAAAAAGACACTATTGTCATATGCGTTTCAACCTCAAGAGGTCATCATCAGTGGCATCAAGGAAATTAATTCATTTAATCAAATGGATTAAACTGGATTTAGAAAATAAATAATGAATAGTGCAGTATCACTTGAAATACTTTTGTGAAATACCCTATTCATTATTTATTTTCTAAATCCAGTTTAATCCATTTGATTAAATGAATTAATTTCCTTGATGCCACTGATGATGACCTCTTGAGGTTGAAACGCGTATGGCAATAGTGTTGATAGTTGTTTGTTTGCTTATTTTATATTCTACATGGTATGCAAAGTTTCATGTTTATTAGGGGTTCATCAAAAATACAAAAGTGTACCACCACACTTCAATCTCTGCAACACTTCCGGAGTTGAAATGGTAGAATCGAAATAAGTCGCAGCCAGTGGTGAAACTACATTAGAGCACCTGCATTCCACATTATTGTAATTTTATCCCTTACAATGATAGAAAATAGATTTTCTTTCTTAACGATTTGTTAGCTATGATGCTAGATTCAAAACTAAAATCTCTTGATGGTCCATCTACACAAAACACAACAGGATGCATCCCTTAAACCTCATATAAAACTCCATTAAATCAATTATTACATATCCAGATAGCTCTATCAAAAGAGAAATGAGATAAAACTATTAAATTACAAATGGAAAGTGAAAACACTTTTATCTGTGTGACAGCTGTAGTAGAATGCAGATTCTTTACTTTCTATACAGCCATTTCCAACCCACTGCACTTCCTGAACAACTGTAATGTCACTTAATACTTTTTAAGTGTATCACTTAAACTTCTTAGAGCACCACTTCTGTAATGCGACAACACATTCCATGTTCCAGTCCTTAAATCGTGCCTTATTCCTGCCGAGTTGTCATTGAAGGTTTATTCTGTTTAATATATTTCTTGGAGGCTTCTCAACAATATTCTTTTTACGGGATGGGGTTGTTAGCCCCACGCCCAACCCCCAACTTGAAGGATCAGGATTTGATTTAAGGGTTTTCTCCCCTAGGAGGGTTGGCTTCACTACGCCCAAGGAGCCTCCTCCTGCCCCTTAGTTTTCTGATGGAGTTTTCCTTCCCCTAGCCCAGTGGTCCCCAACGCAGTGCCCGTCAAGGCTTTTTTTGGGTGCCCACGTTGATATGGAAAGAGGTTATACTGAATAATGAAGGCCGTTCAACCATTAACATTATAAAATCAAAGCACAGATCTCAACTTACTGATGCTCATCTTGACGATTGTTTTCGAGCAGCAACATCATCCTACACTCCCAAATTTGAAAAACTGGCCGATGAAATGCAGCGCCAAACATCACACTAACTTCCCACTTGAGTAATAATAATTGTATTTTTGTTTGCATGGTTTCTTGTATCATTAAACGTCATGTTGTTTTGTGTATTATTTGTGTCCATATCTTATTTGTCCAAAGAAAAGAAAATTTGGCTTTGTTAATTGGTTGGTGCCCGCCATGATCTCATAAACTCTCAAATGTGCCCGTAGGCACAAAAAGGTTGGGGACCACTGCCTTAGCTTTTAGGTATCCCTCCCCTAACCCGCAAAGCAATTAGGGCAGCTCTTTTTACTGGCGGTGCTTACTTGCCAGGTCACAAGGCCATCTTTGAGCTCCTAATGAACAATCACATTCATTGCCCTGATGATGGAGGCAGTATGACCTCTGAAACGTTGGTGAAAATCTACCAGACTACACGATGCAATAACCCGAAGACAGCAATCATCTGAAAACACTAACTCTACAGTTTACTTACATATCTGTTAAAGTTTTCAAATGTCATCATTGAAGATGGTACACTCTAACTTGTTTAACACTGTTCTCTGATTGTTGCTGAATCAACTCACTTTGCTCGGGAACCAAGTCTGACAAAGCTGTCTGCTCGTTAAACATGTCACGACTGTTTGAAAAGTTGTCATTCTGTATAAGCGCAACTTTGGCACCTCCTAATGGAAGGATAACAAGATTCTCTTGGCTGCGGTCACTTCTGCCAGTCAGACTTACATGAGTTACAGTGGGATGCTCACGTGATTTCTGATCCATTACATTACTTAACGATCTAACAGTATGCTGGTCTGCTTCTGTAATGGAATCATGGCTATTTACTAAGGTTACAACTTGGTGTATTTTGCTGTTTTCTGAATTGAATCCACTTATTTGAAACAAAGTCTTTTCTGTTCCCAGACCATCAAGTTTCACTAGATGGCGTACCTTCTGCTTCCCTCCATGAAGATCGCCTGCAAGACCTACTATTGTCTGCACCTCGTCACTTGTCAAACCAGAACTGTCTATGATCGTCACAGCCTGGTCTGATTCAGAACTTCCAGTATTCAACTCAAGTGTGGAATTCATGATTCCTTCAATTACCAATGCACTCTCCATGTGTTTTGTACTGGGTTCTGTTTCTGTTAGCTCAGAGTCGTATTCTGACAGTGTCATAGGATGATTTTGTTGACAGGTTGTTATACCATGTGAGGCACAGGTGATGCCATGAGATTCTGAGTGCTCTGATACAATGGAAATATCAACGGTACTTTCACCATCTTCCACAACAGGACAATCTTGAGGCACTTGTGCAACATAATCTATCTCAATATTATTCTCATCTGAAGATGAAAATGTTTCCATGGTTTTCAAAGCCGTATTGATAATGGCTTCAAAATCGGCCTCTGATGGACCATTGCACAAATTTTTAAAGCTTTGTCTTGGGTGTGAATTTTTAATATGTAAATGAAGAGTCTGACGGTATCGGGTCCTGAAAAGATATCAAACCAATGTTACTCGTAAATGGTGGAAATCAGTGCTGACTGGTTTACAATATGAAACATTATTTTAACTTATCAGCTATTCTGGGTTTTTACTACGTCAGGGACAGGTAGCACTCTATTGCTAACTTAGCAACTTAGTTCAGGATATTAAAGTAGAAAAATCCTACGTAATGTCAACACCCAGTCAGAGAGGCACCATAAACACCACTCATGCGAAGACAGACAACTATAACATAACTGGTGCCATTCGCAACAAACTGTCGCTTAAACTGTTTTCTTCTTAATTAAAAAAATAATAGAGCTTAGGGGGAGAGGAGTTATAGCTCCTACTCATTCTTGACCTAAGCACTAGATGGGGGTGAGTGGTCAGAATCATGCCCTGGCCATGCTTTACCCCCAGGGAAAGACCCCGGTACCCATTGGACAGGAGGCTGGGTGGGCCCCAGAACCAGTCAGGGAATAAACACTGATCATCCGGTCTGTAGTCACGTCTATACTAACTAAGCTACCCTGGCTCTTGTTTTCTTCTTAATTACTTGATGATTTTCTGTATCCATTTGGCAGCCAATGTCTTGTGGCCAGACTTCATGGCTGATACTGCGAATGGCTCCATTATCCTTCATTACACATGAATAGGGTATTTAAACTGCCACACTATGAGGTCAACAGCCAGACTTTACTCATGGTTTTAATGGTGTGTTACTGTGATACACAACCAGCTAGAATGCACAAAGTCATAGCGCACCACTGATAAAAGTTAACAGTATCGACAACAGCAGATTAGTTTCAGAGACTGATTATTTTAATAATGCAGTTTGATTAATTTTTTATTCTAGTTATGACATGGATGAACACCCACTAAAACATTCATCTTCATTTGTTGCATATTACTCAGAAATTTTTAAATTCAATTCACTCACATACTATATCCTCTCAGAATTTGCTTTTCAAATGGTTTGTGACTGGCTTTCAGAAACACACAAAGTTTTCATTACTTTTGTACTGGGATACTGGGAACGACCCGTTCTTCAAGTGCCTGAGCACTGCGAGTCCCAACTTTTCGTTGGCTCGATCTATAGACATTCGGTAGGACTCCTTGGACAAGGGATCGGCCCGTCACAAGGCCTCTATCTGTACACAGGACAGCACAGCACAGAGAAACGCGGACAAACATCCATGGCTTGAGTGGGATTCGAACCCACGGTCCCAGCGACCAAGTGGCACAAGGACCACGCCTCAGACCACGTGGTCACTGCTGACCCCATTACTTTTGTTCCACCTATAAAACCATGATTACTATGTCAATACTAAACTCTCTGAGCCCTACAAGCAAACTGACAGGAATATGATAGAGACCCCAACCAAACTAAGCATACACAAGAGAAATTAGGTTACAAATTGTAGGAAAGCCATATTTGCCCTGACTGGAGAGACAAGATCAGTCCTGCTATATTTAAACCATACAAAATTAAAATTAGAAAAGCATTCTTAAGCGGCATAAATTTAAACTCTACTTACGTGTAACTACAACCCCTGCAGGAATAGAAATGTTGATCTGAATGACATGGAAGATGATGTTTCATAAGAACTCGAGTTCTGAAAGCTTTCTTGCAAACTGGACATGCATGCCTAGAACAAATAAAGAAGTAATTTTAGGTTTTTGGGAATCAGAGTTCTCAAAAGTAAAGAAAATTGAATAAAACACTCAATACTTGTTCTTATCTTGGTTGTGAACTATCCTTTCGTGATCCAAGAGCTGTCTGCGTTTCAGTCCACGATACGAGCAGTGCTTGCAAGCAAACTGTCGATCATGTAAGTCATGGTAAATTCTTACATGCTTGTCCAATCCGCCCTGAGTTAAGCTGTTGTAATCACAGATCTTACACTGGAAACGAAGAAATTCCTCATTATAGCACAAAATGGAACATGGCCAAATTACAAATACATCTCTGTATCTTGTTTTGTTTAATGCTTTCTCAACTGTGCTGGGAAATGTCACTGACAATTTTCAAAGGATGTAGAAGTAACAATACCATATTTTAAGGCATGAAGGGGTTGGGGAAAACTACAAAATCCTCTGTGAGGACAGCTGTCCTCAAGGCTGAAAAATGGTAACAAAATATAAAACTGCAGTGCTAACCACTCACCTTCTGAATTTAGTATCATAAATACTCAAAAACAGCCAAATCCAATTTATATTACAGTAACTGCCACCCTCAATTCCATTATTCATGTTAACTTTTTGGACAATCAGTTTCCCCATCAAAACTGTGGACATATTTTGTGCTCCTAACATTAGGTTGTATGTCCAGTTCATTTTAACTTTATCCTAACTACAATACAAGCAAATTCTTCACTATATAACTCAGCATTTTGTGGCAGGTTCCTTCTCAGCAGTTAGTGAAATAAAAGCCATACCAGATAATCAGTATTCTATTTCTAGCAGCAGAAAGAGTACATTAATGTCTGTTCAGGCATGAATGCTATAAGACAGACCACTTCACCAAACTGACTATGCTTCTTAATAAATCCCAATATAGCACCCCTCTATATACCATCACCCTTTCACTGCACCCATAAAAGCCTGGGATCAGGAATTTCCTATATAATTTCAAATTAAATCCCCCCATAAAGAACCAGCCCCACTACCTTCCATGTCAATACAAATGTACCATGAAGCCAATGTAATCAAGTCTTATATATTTGTTTCATCTGGCTAACAGACAACTCACACAAATATTTAATTTTACAATCACTGTAAACAAACAAATACTATGGTAACATAAAATCTACTTCGGTGAAAAAACACATATAGCACTCTACACTCCCTTCTATGGGGTAAACCCATCTGCCAGTTTTCAGTGTACTGAATATATTCTCAGTGAAAATAAATTGGAGAATGAGATATAAATTTTGAAATTGTTGCAAGGTTGAAGACCTTGAGGATGCATTAGTTATTTGGATAGGGCAAATGAATACAAAAAAAAGAACAGTGGCCACTAAAGTTATAAAGAAACAGGCAAAAGTACTTGGAGAGCAGATAAGTGTTGATAAATTTTATACACAAAAAAATAGTGTTTACTTTGCTTAAAAAAATATATAATAAAGATGAAATTACCTTGTAAAATATGTTACTATTGCAAAGCACAGACATCCCACAATTTTGTCTTTTATTTTATGCTCAACATCTTACATATTTCACAAACTACAGAATCGTCTTCCACATTCTAATGCTGCGTAGTCCTGTAGGGGCACATCACCTCCATCTTCTACATAGAATCATATGAAAGACTAGACAGAGCAGCAACCCAGAAGACCATGATCTGTATTTTAATTGCCATTAAAATTTAAAATCTTGTACTACATTCATTTCAACCACAATATTTTATAGCAGCACAATGAGGACAAACTGTATTTAAATTCTGTACTTTACCTCATACTTCTTCTTATGGATCCGTAACATGTGTGATGCTAGGTGGTTTGTACTGTTCCCTACATATTTACATAATGTACATGAGTAAGTTCTCAAAGGCTCATGAACTGTTCTGGAAGAATAAAGAAAAATATGTTTCAGCACTGGAAATGGTAACCAGAATTCTTAAATTAAATTAAAAAGGTTAATGAAAATTCTGTAAACATGTAAAATATAACATGGTCAGTCTTCTTATGTGCATAATATTTTTGTACTTAATAGGTGCAAAATCGTATGTCCTCTAGTTCGGCATATCTCAGTGGCCTGATGATAACCTCTGTTGTATGATAAAGATAATGTACTTGATTTTGTCTCTGTGGTTTAATGATTTAGCATTATGCTATTTTAGTGCATGGCAAACTGGATTGTATGTATGCTGCGCTGCACCGCAATAATTAATTTATTTTAGATTAAAGATGGCTAATAAATACTTTGAAAATCTGGCAAAGTTCATATATTTGGGAATTACATTATCAAATTATAACTGCATTCATGAGAAAATTAAGTTTAGCCTAAATCTGGGGAATGTTTGCTACCATACAGTTCAAAATATTTTGTTCTCACACATGCTATCTGAAAACATAAAGATTAAAACACACAAAAGTATAATTTTAGCTGTTGCTTTATATGGAAAGAATATGGATTGAGGATGTTTGAAAACAAGGTGCTTAAGAGAACATTTGGACCAAAAATGGATGAAGTGATGGAAGCGCCATAATTTGTACTTTTTGCCAAATATTATTAGAGTGATAAAATCAAGGACGACGAGGTGAATGGGGCGTGCTGTGTGCATGGGGCAGATGAAAAACGTGCAAAACTCTTTGTTGGAAAACATGATGGGAAGAGACCACTCCAAAGACCTACACATAGATTACAGGATAATATTAAAATGGATTTGGAAATTGGGTTTAAGGATGTAGAGTTGATTCATCTGGTTCAGCATAGGGACCAGTGAGAGGCTCTTGTGAATATGGTAAAGAACTTTCAAGTTCCATAACAGATGGAGAATTTGACCAGGTGAAAACACTATTAGCTTCTCAATAACTCTACTCTATGGAGTTAGTTATAAATATGTTTTTGCAAAGACATTTCTTCTTGTATGTGAGACAAGTTTAGTAACTTTATCTCCTAATGTCTTTGTATATGTTACCAAAAACTGTGGGTAAAAAGCAAATAAATTTACCACCAACATAAATTAGTCACCTCTATAACATGAGAAACTTCCCAATGCAGAAAATGACTGTCATTTCTTAATACGTCATCTCAAAGTATCTTGAAAAGTACAAAACAAATGAGAGCCCAAGTAAGACAAAATTTGAAAAGAAATTTTATGTACTCACTGCATGTGCATTTTGAGTCCTGAGATAGATATAAATCTGGCACAGCATTCTTCACATTTGCGCAAATAACGAGTCTTACAATGAACGTCTTTAAGATGATATGTCAAGTAAATCTTCCTTGTGAACAGCTTATTACAGACCTTACATTTGAACTTCTCAGCATGGATATTCTGATGATAGTTGAGCAGCTTCGCTGACTTGGTTGTGTATGGGCAATATGTGCACCTTTAATAAGATTTTATACAGACAAAAATCATTACTTAAGATTATTAGATATAACCTAGTTAAGTTATCAGGTATATGTATGGACCTACAAGCTCGGGAAACAATTGGTGATAAAGTCGGGATACTTATTAGTCATGGAGATGAAAGAATCATACTTGTGTCAGGGTATAATTAATTACATAATGTATTTATTTATATATAGTCATTCATTATTATTCATATATATATTTATTACATAATGATAAACAATTTCTAGGTTGTAAATTTTTTACAGAATGCATGGCCAATGTTGACACTGCTCTTAAAAATAAAGTTTATTAAGAAATGGAAAATGGTAGGATTTCAGGTTCTCACAATGGTGACTATGAAGATGGCTGTCTTCTGGGTTGTAGCGCCAAGCAGTCTGGTAGAAGTTTACCATTGTTTCAGAGGCCTCTGCTGATTTCAACATCAGGGCAATGATCCATCGGTGCTACAACCCAGAAGACACTAATCTCAATAGTAAATAGCAGTGTAGTTCCTAATTTAATGAAACTCTTAAATATTAATGAAAGACAATCCCTGACACAGTGCCTCTCCATATGACATTTAGTGACAGAATATTAAGATGGGAATTATTAACAAATTAGGTCTGAAACTTTACAGGAAAACTAGATAAAATTTTCATTCTTTTTCATATATATATATGCACTATAATAAAATATTCAGAAAAATACTTACTTCAACACAGGGTTAGAATGTTTCTCAATATGTGTAATAAGTCTTCTTTTGTTCAGGAATCTCTTTCCACAGGCATCACAATGGAATACATCAGTGCCATTTGTTTCTCTACAAACAGTGCTGCATGTATTCAGTTTATTAGTAGTCCATTCTTCACACTGATTTTCATTCCTAAAAACATAACAGATTCACAACACAAGAACAAAATTTGACAACATTAAGCAATTCCATAAAACAAAAATTCTGCTTTTAGGTAGTACCAAGAATTTTTTTCCAGTGGATAATGTGTAACTTTCAATTGTATTCCAGATGAATCCTTTTGGTTTAGTTTGTGCGTGTAACTTCCACTTGTTCTTTCATTGTTACTCTTTAATGCACCTGTTGCATTAGTTTCTATGTACACAGCATTGTTAACATCACTGGAATGTCTCGTGTCCTGAACACAACTCTCCATTTCTTTAACTAGAGCCATTTGTCTGCTGTTAGGGTCGTTCTCAAGAACTCTGCACTGTTTGTTACCATTTTCTTGTGAGCAATCTTCTTGGCAAGTCCTTACTGAATCATGCTGAGGAGAAGTGGATGCATTAACATTCTGAACATTGTCAGAATTGAGAGAAACCATTCCAGTATCTGAGAAAGACCTTGAAGAATTTGTCACTTCATTACCAGAATACAAGGAATCATAAAGTGATGAAGTCTGAGTTGGACAGTTGCCAGATAATTGGATGTGATTTTTGATGTCTTCATCTGCAATAAAACATATTTTAGTTTCAACTAAATTAATGTTTACTTAAAACAACTACAGGCTAATGAATGTCAAAAATGTTTGCAACTAAATAAGGATACTTGCATACACCACATTACTGAGAGATTTCGGGAAACCTTGTGCTGTTTCAGTCCTTACAAAAAACAAAACTTTAATAAAAATTTGTTCAGCTATTGAGTTCTTACACATGACAGACAGGCAGTGATGATAATAAGCAAATTTGAACAATTTTTATTTACGAGCATACCTAAGTTTATCAGATCATTCTGAAAATAATTTTATTCATTCTTTGCAAACTCAGTGGAAAAAATAAATTCATATACCCAAGCACTTATAACTATATAATATTTATGAGGTTCTTTACAAATTTCTTCTCTGTAATCTTAAGAGACAGATTATAGAGTGAAATAATAATAATAACATAAAAAAAACATAAAGAACTCACCTTCATAATCTGTTTAAAGCCGTACATTTTGAGATCATATGAATTAATTTCCCCTTTTCGCCATTGATGATGACCTCTTGAGGTCAAAACGCTTTTGGCACTAGTGTCATTTATAGTGTAAACAGTTTGTTTGTATGCTTATTTTTATATTATAATACACTACATGGTATGCAAAGTTTTAAGATGAAATAATAATATGTTGGAGAACATAAAAGAAGGCAACATCAACTTGCAATTGTTTCTTTGACACTCAGGAAAAGATTACTTCTCTTGTAACAAATGTCATGGTATGCAGCAGGATAACTTTGGCTGGCCAAATATGACACAAACTACACATAACATCTGAGCAGTATATAATAATATTTTAAAACAGGCCTCCCAAATCTTATTGTGAACAGAGGTGTTACTTACTTGTACATCAAGAAACAGAAATACAAACTTACCTGTAAAATTTATTGCAGAAGCATATCCTTTTTGTTGAAACTGAAGCTCTCCAGCATTTTCATTTGCAACTCAATTCAATTTTTCTCAGATACTTAATCTAACACAGTTAAACAAGTTTAAAACACTTCAACATATTTTACTTCTAAAAACTTGTTCATCTGTATGCATTAAAAAACTTAGAAGCTTTGCTGCTGTGTTTAGGGACTACAGACATTAATGAGTGAGAAGCTAATGTTTCAATGTTCACATTTTTATCTTGGTACGTATCTACTTAACAAGGACTACAAGTTCTGCCTGCACAGCAGTTCTTTTACCATGTTAATAAGTATGTCAGTAAAGCCAGAGTACAGTATCATAAGAATAATTAATCTAAACTTTGACATAATTCATGCATAATGGCCAAAACTGTGATTTTTGCAGCTGTTTGATAACGAAGGTTTCAGTGTTATAGCTGTCCCACTGCACGCCATGTAGGTGCATTGGGGGAGTGGAGGTATAGCTCCTACTCTTTCTTTACCTCGGCACTAGATGGGGGTGAGTGGTCAGCATCACGCCCTGGCCGCACTTTACCCTCGGGAAAGGACACCGGTACCCATTGTATAGGAGGCTGGGTGGGCCGGTCCGGACGCAGAGGCCAGAGGAAAAATCCTCCACCCCCGTCGGGGATCGAACCCCGGCTGTCCAGCCCGTAGCTAGTCACTATACTGACTGAGCTATCCCGGCTCATTTCAGTGTTATAACCTCAATGTAATTAGCTTAGAATAAAATCTTTATGGGGTTCTACATTACACATGGCAGTACAAATGAACCAAATTGAAATAGGTATTAGAGAAGTTAATCTGAGACTGTTTTATTTGGCATTACAGAAGAAAAAGTTGACAAGTATTACAATGAGCTGAAAAAATGCCTTGCATGTTTTATTCAGGTTTGTTATTTCAGATACTTGAAAAATCCACAGAAGGCAATCAGAATTATTATTTTAATTAATTTTTTGGTTGAGTCTGCCTCCCTCCATTTTGTTTCAAAGAGAATGATATCACTGTAAACCAACTTTTCTAACATTTCAAACAAGTCAAACTAAAAGTTCAAACACTTTTAAAGTCTATCGGGGCACTGAAAAAACATCACAGGTCCAATGGTTTTTATCTGAATCTTGTATTTTATCACTATCCTAAGGTAGTCACCATCACCATAAAACTTACAGCATAAGCATGATATGTTAAAGTACAGAAATTAATCATCAGTCCTACTGTGCACACAGTTCTGTAACCATTCCTTTTACAATGCTGATAAAGCAGCAGGTTGCTATAAAATCCATGTCTTGTGGATCACACAGTAACCATTAACTCTTCTGATTGCTTCCCTTGACACTAAGTTTCAGGGTGGGGTGCCACAAGAGCGATGTTTAGGGTTTATGCACTGGTAGTCATTTGTCAAGCTATGAGGATATCTGCAGGATTTAAATGTGATAAAGGACAATGAGTAGATTCCTAGATGAAAGGTAAGTTTACAAATACAGGTAGCCCTCGATTTGGGCCGGTTCAATTTGCGCCGATTTTGAAACCAGCAAGTCAAATGTGAAAAAATATATTTTTCTGTTATTTATAACGTTTTACAATGTATCTCGTACTGATTCTTATACTAAATCGTAATTCTTACATCGCTGATTTTGAATAAAAATTATAAATAGAGTCATCTGTGCAATTACGTGTGTTTCGTTAACGGGAATTTGCTCCAATGAGATCGATGAATCGGTAAAAGCTGTTTGTGAAATGCAAACTTTTTCAAATGCGAATTTGCTCTTATGCAATTTCATTCCTGGCGTTTTAAACTTCCGAAGGACTAATTTAATCTCTGCGGAGATACCGGGGTTATTTTTACTACACGATTTTCTATAGGTTGACGTCTTACATGAATGCAACTATCGCATAACAGCAGAGTTGACTGTACACATCGATCACATGAAAGAATCGCAGTCAATCGCGGGGACCAACGAATTGCCGATTGTAAGTGTATAAAATATATATTTTTAAATTCCCTTTATTTTATTTACGTTATTTCAAAGCTTTAAATGTAATGCCATTATATTACTCGTCAATGTTTGGGTGCTGGGAACGCATGTCATTGACTTCCCATTGATTTACAATGTAAAAGAGTTTAAATTTATGCCGATTCAGTTTACGCCGTTTCGTCCAGGAACGCATCCCCGGCGTAAATCGAGGGCTACCTGTAATTAAACAAGCAGCAGAATTATAATGTTGACTGATGTTTACTGAAGCACAACTCAAAAGCACTGTTAAACTTCACACAAACATAAGTTTGATTGACTTTATAGTGCTTTATAGGTAGCACATGAGTTATTTAGCACATTATTTTCACTTGTAAATTTTAACAAAGTATGACTTTTAAAAAATAATTTTTCACAGTGATTTAACAAAATATCTCCTATGCACAAATTTTGCATCGGCTTAAAAGAAAAGTTTTGATCAAAGTATTTTTGCATCTGTTCGCAAAGAATGTTAAACAGAAGTGTAGTAATAGTGTTGACTCTGACAGAAACCATTTCTTCTTTATTAGGGGTAGCCGTGACTGGCCTGCATGGGTGACTTCAGACAGCCTTTGGTAGACACAAGTGCCTTCCAAGTTGCCAAACTAAGAGATTCCCTTGGTCAGCTACCCGAATTAATACTGCGAGTGCTCTGATGTGGCCAGAAAAATCTAGAATTCCCATGTCTTCATAAAATTGCCTGTTACAAATGTACCAACATGTGTTAGTCATAATATGAAAACACATAGAATGCAACACCTACACATTCTGAACATTGCTGTGATCAGCATGCCTCCAGATAGAGCACACAAAATCCCTCATAGGACAGATGAAGTGCTTATAAAGCAGCACACCATTTCTGATATACAAGCCACTTCTGCTATTGAGGGGGCCTATCATGCCCAGTCTTTAAGGTGCATTTCTTCGAACCTGGTCGATGTGTATTAATGGTCACCCTGTGATATTGTACAGTTTAAACTCACCACATTGATTCTCTGAAAATATTAACTGGTCTGGGTCCCTGGATGCATCTTCCAGTTTCAGTATAGAGAACTGTGGTGCTCTCTGAGACACAGAAAGCAATCCTTAAGTCCTGCAGCAAGTGATCAAGTATGTTAAGGTTAGGTTTCCAGAAAACCATCTAGCAGCAATGATTTGCACAACATGGTTACGAGACCATGTCATCCACATACATTGCTCGCTTGGCATGGCAAGAGGGAGGAACTCACATCATCCCATGCCAATCATCCACATTATCCTTCCTGGCTTCCCAAAAGGGCCAGTTTATTCCAACTATTTCTCTCTCCCCCTCCCTCAGCAATTCTTTCACCACCAAAAAGGATTCCTTCCCACTGCTCCAGCTGCCCTCCCCACCCCCCATCCCTGGTAGTATAGTCCTCTGAAACATCGGCAACAAGCCAACTTCTATACGTTGCTAGCACCCAAAGCAGGATCAGCATAACAAAAGGGTTTAATCTTGAATATTGTACCAGAACATAAAAATCCTAAATGTGAAGTAGGAGTTCTGAAAAGAAAAGAAGATGACATGATCAAAGACCCTGAAGAAGGAGGCAGCGGGTTCCTCTAAAATGTTGGTAGCATTTTCTTAAATTTTATTATATTCCTAGACAGTACTGAACCCAGATGAATGTGCAATGAACAGAGCAATTTTATTACCTTAAAGAATTGGAAATAATTTATCTATTCACACAAATATGTAAATTTATTGAAGTGATTTTGCTTCCACAAAAAATTTCCAGTGTTTAAAGCAGAGTATTGACAAATTTTTGTGTTATAAATGTTGTATCAGCATATTAGAACAGCATGATGAGGAGGATAGGCTAATACATGTAAAAAAAATTATTTATTTTTATGAAATTGGGTTGTGTGGTATCATGAAGATGAATATGGATGAGTCTTGCTTGTAGACAGACACCAAAGGAAGATAATTTAGTCATCAGAGAAGTTTAACTGTCACTAATGGAATTATGGGAATAGGAAAGCCAGCTGCCAGAATTTTGCGCTAATACGCTGCTGTTCAACTG